TAATAGATTTAGAAAGCGGCAATCTGGATTTTGACTGAAAGGGCCTTTGTCACAAAAGATTGAGAACGAAAGTTTATTCAAGCATTTATTCGAAAATCATTTGTTGAAATGAAATGTCGAATTCCGTCTTTTAATTCCCAAACCTTTTTTGAAGTATAAATGCCAAAATTGAATAAATTTGAAGTAAGAAAAATTGATGATATAATACGTAATTGAATGTACTGTAGTGTTATTGTTAAGTAGAACAAATATCTTCATTTGAGTAAGAACAAACAAAAATATTAGATTGAAAACAAAGTTTATTTGATGCATTTTAAAATTGTTTTCTTTTTCTGGCAATATTTTACACGTCGACCGGTCTCGTAAACTAAATAAACAACAATAATTGAAATCAAACTGGAAGAGTGAATTTGAAATTACTTTTTTACAAAAGTACATAGCTTTATTTCAATTTAGTATAGAGTTTTTTTATTAACATTTTACTGGGAATTTCGATGGCTTTTTAATTTTTTTAAAAATACTCTAGCAAAAACCATAAATTCAATGATATATATGTACAAACCCAGGAGATTAAACGATCTTAGTTTTGATTTTTAAAAATAAGCCTGATTTCTTATTTGCTAAAATCATGCAAAACTGAACAAAAAGAAAAAAAAAAAAGAACTTTATCTACCAACCTTGTTTCTCATCACTGCTACATGTTTATTCTCGTTTATTTTATTACTTTTTCTAGGGTAATTATGAGTTTAGGAAGGTTCTTGTTTACTGAACAGAACATAATTATGTCCATTTATGCACATTCATGTGTACTTAACTCACCTTTTTTTCTAACTTATTTATGTAATTATCTAACTTATTATGTATTATGTAGAAACTTACTTATTTATGCGGTTATTCTAGTATATGATATTAATAATAATAATAATAATAATAAAAATAATAATAATAAAATAATAATAATAAAATAATAATAATAATAAAATAATAATAATAATAATAATAATAATAATAAAAATAATAATAATAATAAGCATTTTGTGTTGCAACTTAGAACCTGAAAGCTGCTGGGCCAGCAAAAATAAACAAAAAAATCAACAAAATCAAATTTCTTTGTTATTTCTTCTTCATTTCTCTTTTGAAATCTATTTGTTATCGAAATCAAATTTTTTTGTTTTTTTTTTCTTCAAAAAAATAAACAAAAAACATCACATCAATTGTTTCATTTCCATAGTATCAGAGAAATGGGTTTTTATGGTACACTTGGCCCATATTCAGTTATCCTACGGAAAACAATTTTCAAGTTATTCAGAATGACCTAACCCTTTATAAGAATAATATTACATTTTATTTATTTCTCCTTATTTCTCTTAGATTTATATTCATTTCAATTTTTTAGTCACTTAAAATATAGTCGGTCTTAACTTTACCTTGATTGAAAAAAAATCTAAAAATACTATAATTTCTCTATTTTAACGAAAGATTTGCTGTAATAGATTCTAGTCCGATTTAATGTATTTTTCTTAAAGCTACTCTTCTTCTTGTCACGTGGCTGCTGTACACAATATTTTGTTGAAGAAAAAAAACATCATGTGCTTTTGAAATGATAATGTAGCAAGCTCTTATTTTTTTTTTTATTGAATAAACCAAATAAACCTTTTTTCCTTTGATACATTTATCATCTTGACACTACTCTAATTTATCTTCGGAGTTACACCGAAAAAGTGTTGGAAATACAGTTAAAACTTCCACAAACTAAATTTTCATCAACAATGGACGCATCAATTTATAAGCAGGAAAAGGTATAATCAAGTTTACTTAACCTAAGTTTTGAAATGTAATTTGTTATTCAAACAAGATGTTTTTCTTGTAACCTTTTTTGAAAATGATGGATATGTTTAGTGGCAATTCATCTTTCTGTTTCTCGAGTTTGTTAATGAATTTATAATTCAGGAGAAAAAAAGTCGTTGTTGATTTGCTATACAAGTGAGTGAGGAAAAAATATAGTTGAGGTTTTTATTCAATTTAGTTAATAATATTTTTTACTAACGTAAACAAACTATAAATTAGTAATAATATATGTAAAATTAGTATATATATATATATATTTCTGTTCAAGCAGAGGATAGAGTATATATAATATTAATAATAATAACTTAAATAGTCTTAAATTTTCAATTTTTTTTATAGAAATTTACAGACGCAATATTTTTCTAGCAATTATACAGAATGAAAATGTATTTAAATCTAATAAAATATTAAACTCATTAAAATTTCCTTTTTAATTTGAAGAAAGTACAACCTTTTTTAATAACATTATAATTAGACTAATAATAATAATTACTCAAACAAACTGAATAATTTCTCACATCGACAGAGCAAATTTCTTAAAACGAAGTGTTATGGTTTTTGATGATTTTTGTTTTTAAAAAAAAGCATAGTTGAACACATTAAATAAAAGTCTACATTTATTTCAATTTATTTTAATTTTTCAATTTATGAATTAAATAATAATAAATTCTAAAACAGTGACTCAATAAATTCCTGCTACACTTTAAACTTATTATCTTAAAAAATAAGGATGAATAAAAGAAATATAGCAGCTAAATATATACATAGAAAAGAGATTTAAAGTGCATGGTCATCACTTTCTTATAAAATATTATTTTTCAATAATAACTTTCTTTGGATCATTTGTATTATCGCTTGAAATGTAGAAATATTAATTTGTAAAAAGTGTAGTATTTATGAAATTTCAGAAAAAGATTAATTTCATATGTCCTAGATATGAGTAAGTCTTACTAAATAATGTATTCATAATTTTTCACAACTGCCTAATCAAAGAATTTTATTGTTTCCTGGAAGCTTTGTTAATATTTCAGCAATGAGTTTAGTACAGTCTGATTGGGTTTCTAGTGCGTATCTATTAGAAATGAATCCCACTGTCTTCGATTAGAACATCTAATTAGAGAAAAGTCACTCAATAAGCTTAACATTCAGTCTACACACCCAATTAGTTGGCAGAACTTGGATAACTGCAGAAATAAATACCTCTTGGCTGACAAAAAACAAAAGTTAGTAAAGACCTTTAATAAGGCAAAACACCGAAAGCACGTTAATCGTCAAGAAACGAGTTGTGGAAGATATTTTTTACTTTTTCATTATAGGATTCAAAAATAATTTTTTAAAGTTTTTTTTCCATTATATGTTTATTTTAAGAGCATTATATAAGCTTGTGGTATTTAAATACCCACATACACTATAAAAAAAAATTTCAGATCAAATTACTGCAAAAAGAACTGGATCCCTGAATGAAGCGTCCTTAAAATTCAACTTACCGTAAAACTAATTTTTACTATAAAATGTTATGCCGTAATTTTAACAGTAATATTTATTTAATTATAGTGGCTCAGACATTTCACATTAAATATTACCTTAAAAATTATGGTACATCATATTTTTTGCTCCTTAAAATTTCACTTTAAACAGTACTGGCACCCTGAATGACGGTACTTTTTACCGCAATTTGGACCACAATTTTTTACAGTGAGCTTGAATTTTATTTATTACTTTCTAATATTAATTTAATTTATGTTTTAATAACTAAGTGATAAAACACCTGTAGCTTTATGTACATATTTTTATATTTTTTAAAAAATCTTTCAATTTATTTATTTTAAAAAAGGAACATTGAATATTTTTAAAAATTTTCATAAAAAATCATTTGAAGTTTACTAAACTACAATGAAAGTGTTCATAACAAAAATACATAAAAATATCGGACTTAAAGTTTGTCGGGCCTAATGTCATGAACAACCACTCGCAGTTCTTTTACAATAAATAAAACTTATAAAAGAACAGCGATATTAACATTCAAAAAAATAGTTTATAATTTTTAATAAAATTCTTAACTTATTAAGGCAGAAGAATTATTCACCTGATTCATTTAAAATATTTACGAAGATTTAAGTGAACAAATTAAATAAAAACTCAATCAAAATTAAAATCAAAAGAAAAAAAATTCTCATTACAATATTTGATTGCTTTTGTAAATCACTATATAGAATCACTATATTCTTTTAGTGGCCAATTTGGATCATTTTGTGCATGATGTACCCCATCTCAAACACACGGAGAAAAATTCAAGTAAAATTAATGTGATGTTTAGTAAAATTAATGTGATGTTTGGTAATGACGTTTGTGGTTAAGAAAACAACAACTTAATTTTTGTTATTGAAACAGAATATACAGTATTTAAACAATTCATTTAGTAGTTTTTCCATTTATATAGTAACAGTGAACCGAAAATTCTGGTTTTCAAAATTCTCGTTCTAACTATCGCCCATTTAGTAAAAAACTGTAAAGTAAATTTAACCGAACAATTGATATTTTAGCCATGCTAAGGTATCATAATTCATAATAAAAGGACCAGACTTTGAAACATTTACCAAATTTTCTCACATATTACAAAACAAAATTTTATTGTTAATTTAACCGAAGCGCTTCGTTTAAAATTACCGAGCTTTTTGCTGTTATCATGATGCCAGAAACACTGTAAATTTTATCAAATTCTGGTATTTTTGACGATATTTTTTTCTCATTGTATAATAAAAGAGACTCTATTGTCACGCAATATATTTCATGCAATGCAATTCATGCAATGCTTACCAATATTAAAGCATAATTTAAACAATACACTTGCTGGAAAATAATCATTTCCTAAGAATTTTTCCTTTAGAAAAATTAGTTTTTACTTTTATTGGGCAATACTATATAATGCAAAAATTTGCGTATATTGCTAATATTTTTTTTCAATGTACTTTATTCTTCCATGAAAACTTATGCATCATATGTTTAATAAATTAGAGGACTTTATCTACATTCTAAAAGATTTTCAACCCCAGCACTCCCTTATCTGATCTTTCCCCTATTCAAAAAATAAACAAGCACTCCTGTGCGGTTAGGGACTACAGGTTACTCCTGAAACCAAAGGGAGTAGTCAGTCCACTTTTAGTGACCCCCCAGTAAATTCCAACCCCCTACTCAGCATCACAGAATTTTTCAGTCCAAGTTGGAGTGAAGAAGGACGATGTTGTTATTCTAGTTGTAAACAATATTTTGTGGCGTGCGTCATGGAGGGAAAATTTACATCGGAAGAATCTAATTTAATACTTGAAGCATTTTCAAGAAAAGCTGATTACGATGGTCCTTTGGATCATAGATTTTTGGACTATTTGAATAAAATATTCTTAATTTGGCGAGTTACCCACGCCACTGAAATTCTGAAGGGCATGATAGAATTTTCGATTGAACTTAAAGTAGACTTTCTGAATTTGATGAAAGAGAAGTTAGGCTACTCTGAAAATGAGTTTTCTCATAGCTGTTTAATGAGGGAGCCCAAGAATTTCATTTTAATAACTGATTTTGGTGAAAAGAATGAGTTCTTCCAAGACGGGTGTTTGCTATACTTAGTAAAAGCTTACCAAAAGTGTCTGTAAGTATACTTGATTTACATGTTTTATTTACATTTATTGCATTGATTTGTTATTGTATTTGCTGAGAGGGAAATATTATTGTTTTGCGTATGCAGGAATATATCATAATAGGCATTGTATATTTTGAGAAAAGAAAATATTTTGAAACTAAAATAAAAATTAGCTTTGCCTGTTTTTTTATAAGTCATAATTCTACAAATGAATGGTCACTACCTTGGCGAACAAAAAGCACGGCAAGTTCTTTGGCCAAGGTCAGTACAATTGTTATTTTATATACAAACTCTAAGCACCGTGTAGTGCAAACAGTATAAACTAGGTTTTCACAATCTTTTCTTATCTTCATTTTAGTCAGTTAACTATTTTTTGTTTAATTTCTTATGTTAATTGTATCTCAATTCGTAAATTTTTTTTCATTAATATTACAGATACTGTTGTTATGTCTGAGAAAAGCGTTATTAATAGCGTTAAGAATAGTTTATTAATTACTAATAACAATAATTACTTGTTAGATAATATTATTAATTTGTTGTTGGATTTGTGTAATCTTACTTAAGTAACTTTAAATCCAATTAAAAATATTTCAGTTGAACAGATTAAGTAGCATTATAGATTTGACGATAATTAGATGTTTTTTAAGAGAATAATATTGTTTAGGAAATAATATTTTGCATTGTATTTAGATAATTTTTTTTATTGTATTTTACTTTTTGTTTTGATACTTTTAATTATTAATAATTAATAATGGATTATTCGTCAATATTACTGTTTATATTAAGTTTTAATTGGAGCAATCAATGTTGCGACAATCTTCTAGGGGAGTTAAGGAACATCATCAGAATTAAAAGTGTATTGGAACCCATTCCTGAAAATATCGTTATACGCCGCTAAGGGCGATTTCCTATTTTTTTTAAAAATGTAGCTTGCAGAAAATGAAGTTGATTGAAGATTTGAAATCAGTGGTATGAAAGTATTCGAGATCCATTTAAAAATCTCATGGAACCAAAAACAGAACAAAAATGTCCCCCAGTGTTAATTCAGAAGAGTGAATATAGTTAGTAGAACATGTATCTTATCAAGTTTTTTCGATTGCATTGCATATTTAATTTTCTATAAATTAATTTGAAAAGTAATTTTAAGTGATTTCCTAACATAATCACTAAAAGTAAGTAGTATCACATTTAATAATCAGTATTTTCATTAAAAAAATTATCTAAATATACTTTTCAGTGTAGAATTTGCTTTTAATAAATTTTTAACTATTTCATGCAATTAAAAAAAATTTAACGATTAATTTTTAATTGTTTATATTAAGTTCTTATATCCTATTTTTTTATTGAATAATTAATACATCTTATTTTATAAAAATTAAGACATTTAATTTTTCATTAATAATTAAACTTTCTAATTTAGTCATTAATGTATAAAGAACAAAAAAACTCTAAAATTTATTATTGTACTTTAACAACAACATTAATTAAAAGTCCAGCAAAAATTCAGGTCAAGAAATTATTTAAATTTTATATATTTTTATTTAATGTTCAAAGTGAAGTTTGTGGCAAAAACTTAGAACTGAATAAGAATGCTTCTAGTTTCGTTTTTGCAGATTATACAGAATACATGTTTTTGCAGAATACATGGGACTGCAACATTGTGTTGTCTAAAAGCAAAAGTCATAATCAGCTTAGTTGTAAAATTCCGATTCCAAATTAATTTTGCTAATAACCTAAGCGTTTCTTTTACATTGCATGAAATCAAATAATACGTAGGCAAAATATTCTTAATTTCATTATTGATTAAAAGAAGAAAAAAAAGATCTTTAGGAGGTTGTTTATGTCCAGAAAATATACTCAGTAGGAGTCGTAAACAAATATCTAAGTTATGATAAACGAGATACGTTTTCGTATCGCCTTATGAAACTTTGAGTGGAATCGGTAGGGCATATACCAATAATGCTAAAACTGACCTTTTCGATGTATCTTTTCTCATCATCTAAAACAAGATATTGCTACAGTTTTATTTTTTATTTATTTATTTTTTGAAAAAGAATGTTTAAGTATACATGTTTACACTGTGAAGACTGTCAACACATATCTTTGACAGAATTTTTTTTTTTTTTTTTTTTAAATTATGAGCTAAGATTTTTTAATTTTCTAAAAAGTTTCATAATTTTTGAGTAAAAATCTTTCTTAGCTCAAAAAGTATTCCTATTAACACTAAAGCATTATCACAGCATACAACTGATATAAGCTCAAACATCCTCAAACAAGTTCAAAGTGATATCATATGCAGTTTCTTAGAAAAGGTACATCGAAAAAGGTCAGTTTTAGCATTATTGATCTATGGCCTACCAACTTTCCTAAAGACTCAGATGTAAATGATTCTTTCTGTTTCTTCTAGCAATTAAACAGGTTCTGGTGTTTTTAATCCAGTATCCTTCATTAGTTTGTCTTGAGATTTTAACAGTATTTTTTTTCTGCAACTTGTTTTAGTCACATCTTAAAAATATACAATGCGCTAATGAAAAGCGAAATACCCTGAAAAATCTTTGATTTATTTATCGGACTAAAACTCAATCTTCGAGGAGTTGAATTTAACTCCATTAATTAGTTACATCAGGCGATAATTGAAATTATGAAATCAGGCTCAAATACTTACTTTCTCTGAATAAACATGCCTTTCATTTATAGGATTTGGATTTTTCATCCCCAAAATATATAAGGTATCTGGAAAATAAAAGAAATATGATCTCGATAGTTTGTTCAGGAGAGCGGTTCAAAGTTTGAACTCCTCAATGTTAACAATTCTTTTTTCGAGAAACTTTTAAGCGAATTGAAAATTTTTCGAAACCCGATTACAAAATTTGTTTATCCAGAAATAATTCCATGCACAAAATACTTTTAATAATAATGAATTATTTTTAATTTTATTTAATAATAGTCAAAAAATTTAAAAGTTAGGTTTAAAAAGTTTTTTATCGTTTTAACGAATGAAATTCCATGAGGAAAATCTAGGACATATCCGTTGAAATCTGTTCCTGAGACTTTTAAATATAAAACTTCTTTAAAAATCGATTTTTCTGGAACTATTTGACCGATTTTTTCAAATTTCCCACGTAAAATTACGCTTTTTTTTAAATGATGTAAAAATCTCTTTTCTTTTACGTTTCAATTTTTATCCAACTATTATTAAATATAATAATAAAAAATGATAAATAATATTTTTTTTTGCATAGAATTATCCTATTAAATTTTATAATTGGGCGTAACGATTCTTCAATTTGCTAAAGAAGTTCTCAATATATGGCACAATATGCAACAAAAATAAATGAGGTCCAACATATCTAAACATTTGTACAAGACTTTATCGTAAAAATTTCAATTTACCTTCTATTAATGATTTGATAACAAAAATATCTTAGTTTGAAATATGTAATAATAATGGAGAGATTATGGTGACAGATTTGAAAATGTTCATCGTATCTGATCTAAGCAAGTATTTGAAAAAAATAAAAAATACAGCTACTATATGATAAGCTGAATCTCACCCGGGAGGACGCAAAATTCTGTAACGTTAAGGGTGTGCGTGAGAATTGTCGAGCCCCAACTTCTTCATCTAATTAAATCCTGCTAAATTGGAAGAAAACGATCTAAATTGGAAGAAAACGATCTAAATTGGAAGAAAAAGATCCCCTACATATTCAGTGCCTGCCATTGGAAAAAAAAAAAGATCCCCTACACATGTTTTAATTTTTAATAACGAGCGTTGAACAGCTGACCCAATTTTGCGTTTACAACTATCTATGTTCAACTCCGTAGCCTTGTAATTTTGAACTCAACCCAGAAGTTAAAGGAACTTTTTCATCAAATATTGGGACGAACTTGCCTTCGTATAGAGAGGAGGATTTGATTTTATTTAATCACCGGCGTTGAACAGCCAACCAAATTCTAATTTTACAAAACTAATGTTCATCTCCGTATTCTTGTAATTTTGAACCTAGTCCAGAAGACAAGGGAACTCTTGCATCAAGTATTGGGTGAAATTTGCATTCGTGGAAGACTTTTCGACGGAACTAACCCGCATCTGCGTTTGAGAGGAAGACAATGAAAACCTCCCATGTTAAGCCCGACGACGGTTTCTAACCCATAGTCCCTCTCCCAATAATGATATTTTGCGTCAGCATTGTGCTAGCCACTGCTGGGATTCGAACCTATTTCACCTAATTGGAAGTTGAATTCTCTAAGCCCCTGCTGATCAACCGCGAATTCTTACTAAAGCTTTTTTTTTATTTTATGAAATGAGTTGTCTAGCAAGTTATTCTTATATTTGAGTCTGTAATGTTCAGAATTAACTCTAATATTCTGATATCATCATTGTACTCCTGGTAACAACCCTGACTGAAGAATAGTTATTAGTGTTATGAAATCTCTTTGTTATTGTGCTATTAAAACGAGCTAAGTGACGCATCATCTGGTTGCAGAAAACTACAATTATATAATTAACGTGAAAAAAGCCATGAGATACTGCTTTACCCCAGAATATGATTACTCTTTTGTTATTAAAAATAATGGCCTTAGTAAATTTCTAACACCTGAAAGACCTCATAAAGTTTTTAAGACCTGATTACTGTAAAAAAGGCATGTCAAAACCATTAGCTAAAAAAGAATGCGTTTTTTATGTTATTTGAGGTTTCGTATAAACCCTGCGCGTATGTTCCCGAGAAAAATAGTATCGAATCAAATTTACCCAATATTTTTTTAAATTACTAAATTTCCTTATATATTAAAAAATCGTAAAGGCAACCTTAACTTTACACAAAACTATAGAACTTAGAAGTTTGAAATTACTGAGGCATGTAGAAAAATGTACGGGAATTATGATGGAATAAAGAACTGTAGCAATTGAAAATTTGTTGAAGAATTATAATTTCCACTTATTCGAAATAATCTATATGGACGGATCAGAAATGCAATTTCAGAGTGGAAATACAGCATACTGAAAGGGTCACATTTATTTATGGATTCAAAATAAAGTTTTATGCGATATTTTGTTCGAAAGTAATTTAATTTTAAGATCTTTTTTGCTATTTTTATCACTTTTTTTTCTTTACGTTAAATTTTGCTTTTATGCTCAAAATCTATGAAACTTAGGAATTTGAAATTACAAAGTTGAATAGAAAAGTGAACAAGGAGTTTGATGAAATAAAAAAGAAGAAAAAATACGATTCTATTATTGGTTTGAGAATCATTAACTGTTAAAGTTATGATAAAAAAAAGCCATGCTGGTCAATCTAGAGACCACTAAAATGCAATTACAGAGTTAAAATTTGACGAGGTGGGACCATTTTGTATTATAATTTACAAGAGAGTCCTTTTCGAAATTCTTATTTGTTCGAAAGTTATTGCAAATTAAGGTGCTTTTTCGTGATTTTTTTTTTAAAAGTTTTTTTTGCTTTGAATGTTGACATTATATATTGTTGTAGAAAGTTTATATTCCCCTAACGGGATCTTTATTTGTTTATTTTATGAAGTTCACGGTCGAGAAGATGTCCATCAAAAGTAGCAAATAAGAGAGATTGCATGTCAACGGATATAATCTTGATATTCCTAGAGAAAGTCTTAAAAATAAAATAAAAGTTAACGAATAACGAAAAATTTTCCATTTTTATATTGATATAAGTGTTTTAAACTAGAAATGATTATTTCTTATTTATTTATGCTTTTTAAATCTCACAATCTCTGTTTCTCAAGTTAAAATTTTTGACAGCTCCGACGATTATTTTTCATATTCTAATGATTATTTTGGTTACGAAAAACTCCTTAACAATTTTTGTCTTTTCATAAAACTACAATGCTTGTATACTTTAAAAACAAAATGTTTTATTTTTGTGGAAAATATTGCCAATGCTTATGAACCAAATGTTTTAGAAGAAATATTAGAAAGATTATGAAGAAATATAAGGAAACCAGATGTTTAAGAAGTAAACAATGATGAATGAAAATCAATTAAAGGGACTGGTGATTTGAATGAGCAGGAGGTGGAGCCTCCTAGTATTTTAAAAATTACTTATTTACTGTTATTACCAGTTTTAATTATTGCTGCGTGTATTATTTGTTGTTGTTGTTTCCAAAGCAATTTGCCACCTGCTTGGTTAAACCAAGTAAATTTTTAAGGCAGAGGGTGCATTCCTTGTTTTCAGTGGGGCCATCTATGGCCAGAATTACGACATGTGTGTTATTAAATAGTATTGAGCAATTTAAAAAAAAAATACTTAATTCTTTCATGATAATTATAAGTAAGTAAAAATTATGATAAAAATTTATTTTTAACATTGTAAAATGTTCCTATTTACAATTTCCATATGGTACCAATAACGACACTTTAAATATATTCAATGGATTTATCTCTGTAACGTTTCTCATTTCAGATTAGTGGATTATGATATTTATAGGCACGTATTCAATAATCTAATGAGGTCAAGAGTTCTCATCAATCCAACCAGCTGCAGATCGTATCAACTCGTCTTCCTCTATAGGGCGTCCACTTATAGAACAGCAGATGACCAATTATACGAGAATGTACTGAAAATGCTTTGGAGTGCCATTTCTGATCCTCTATTGACATTCGCTGATTTCTTCGAAATCTTTGACGGAATAGACGAAGAAGATGTTCCTAAAATAATAAAGCCCTGGGACTGGTACTGTAAACTGGTTAGAACTTCTGAATGTCCCAGAAAGTGCCCGAGATCTTTAAAGCACCTTTCTAGGTGCGTTATAAGAAACAAATTGAGAGACTGTCTCCAATTACCAAATGGTATCGAAAAACTTCCTATTGAAGATACCTATAAGCCATATTTACTTTTAAAAGATTTCAGTCAAATGAACTAGTTTAAAAATTTAAACAATGTTTAATCATAATTTGTTTTCCTAATGACTATTTTAATAAACATTGCTTTGTAATGAAAATTTAGCAATATGTTTCTATTGATTTGCCTCTTAGTTTTCGCTAAGTAAGAATTTTTTTTGTTGTTGCATGAGATTTTTTAACAGATTGTAGATACGTTCGTATCACTTATTTCAAATCTGCCATCCGTTTCACCCTCCAAACTACAGTTTATTTTAAAATGGTATTTTTAGTCAATTTTTTGTGAAAACGTGTGAGTTGAAAATTTCTAGGGGAATTGGGGCACATCACCAGGATTAAAATTGCGTAAAATTCCATGCCCGGAAATGTCATCATATGCCACTAGGGGTGTTTCCCTATTATGAACTGTTTCGACAAAATAGAAAAGCACCCAAGCCTCGTACGAAAGTTTTTGGGCATGCGCTCCTATTTAATTTTTTTCCCTGGTGATGTGTTTGTCGCAAAATTTATGCGACTTCCTGATGTATTTATAACTTTTTTAAACTTGGACATTTCAATAAAAAAATCGACTAAAACTGTCATTCCTTTAAGAAAGAAAAGAAGAAATCTATAGCTTTGATTGCAATTATGATAGCTGAAATCATACTCCTGGCACATTATTGCTCTATTTGAATCTTAATCTAGATATTCTTTTTAAATTGTATGTGAGCAGCCGAGAAGTAAATGTTTTGAATAAATAAATTTGATGCAAAATTATTGAGCATTTTTATTCAATTTTCATATTAAATATTTGTCATGCATACGTAAAAAATATAGAAACAAATCAATAGTTATAACAAACTAAATATAAAAGTATATACAATGTTAAACACCTGAACTGTACTAAGCCTTACATTCCTGACTACACTTTAAAAACTGTGGTGTAATATCCCTCCCAATATGATTTTAAGCAACCAAAAAAATCATATGAAGAAACACATTATTCCAAAACACCAATTCAAGCATTTAAAGGGTGTAATTTAAATCGAAAACACACAAAATTGTCTCTCCTTCACACAAATCGAGAATTATTTTCACTTTCGAAAACTTTATTTCCCTTTTCTTTGTTGGCGCACTTTTTGTAGCCAGAAGTTGCATTTGCTCTCGAGAGTTTGCTGTCGTTGTGATTTGTTATGATTTGATTGAATGATTTATTGTTTGCTGTTAAAATAGGTATGTATGTTTTTGGAAGTAGTAGTGTAATAGAGCATTCTTCGTGTAGTGTAACACTTAGTGTGATATCATTTTGTAGTTACCACTATTTTTTGTGTCAAGTAATGCTATTCATCAACATTTATAAAATGTAGTATTCATCATTATTTAGTATTATTCATTATTTCATATTATTCATTTTTAGTATTATTCATTATTTCATATTATTCATTTTTAGTATAATTCATTATTTTGTATTATTCATTTTTATTATTCATTTTTATTTGTGTCAAGTAATGCTATTCATCAACATTTATAAAATGTAGTATTCATCATTATTTAGTATTATTCATTATTTCATATTATTCATTTTTAGTATTATTCATTATTTTGTATTATTCATTTTTATTTAAATGTTACAAAAATAAAAAACTTTTCTCAACTAAAACACAAGTTCTAAAACTAATATCTATTGCATGTAACTGCATAAAATTTGAAGCACTTATAATTCAGACACATTTTTAGAAAATTTAAAAATATTTCTAATACATTTTGTTATTGAGTTTTAAAAACTTCTGAACCAGTAGCAAGAAAATTAAATTATTGGCATCATAATTCTAAAACCAAAATTTTGTTTCCGTAGAAAACAATTATTGTGCTATATTGATTAAATCATTTTTCCTCTATTCAATTAATTTTTGTTTCTCGATTTTGCCATACTATGTCATTTTTTAAAGTTTTTAAGACTTAATTTAGTTAAGATAGCTCATAATATTTTATGACTTAATATTCCAGATATTTAATTGCTTGCTACAACGCCTCAAAACATTTTAGACTTTAATTCTGTTAGAAAAATATTTTTGAAAGGAGTTTTCGGTTTACTTGAAAAGGAGATATTTTTTGTTTACTAATTCTTTCTGATATTTTATATCAAATATAGAATAAATTTTAAAACAAGAAATTAGTTTTGAAATAAGTTGCAAATTTAGACACCAGAATGAGTTGGTAAATGAGAAGCACTGTGAAACATTGTTTTTTAAAATTATCATCATTTTTTCCAGGTCATGACTTTTTCAAGGAATTTCATGGTTAGGATTCCAAATCTGTTAAAAAAAATATTGTTATTCAGAGAAAGTACTATTTTGTAACTATTTTCGCAACTTAAACAAAAGTTAGTGCTAACTGGATTACAACCCTTGTTTTTAACTTGAGTTTAACCCTTTGAGCCGTAATTAAGATAGGTATTTAGTGATTTAAATTCCAATCATTTGTCCAAATGTTATTCTGGGTAATGCTTATTTTCGCTCACTAAACAGTCTGAGGATAAAATTGATCAATGACTGTAGAAATATTTCAGTTGGAATAATCTGACATACAGCGGAAAACATTTCTTTTTATACTTATTCAGCAGCTCCATTTTTCACAGCGTCCTAATTGATTTTTCAAAGCATTGATAACTTTTGAGACATATTGTATTTTTCGGACATTTTAATTAAAAATTTGCCAATAAATGCATTGTTATATTATGTTTTCTTTTAATTATCAACATAACTACTACGAGTTTTAAGTCTAAGATACAACTTAAAAAATAATAAAAATTTTTGGGGCCAACTAAAACTCTTAATGCGCAATGGCAATCAAAAAACTCGGACTTTTTCGACATCGATTTTCGACACATTCTTAGACTGTTATTAACCTTTTAAATAGTTAAATAAAACACGCTAACTCAATTTTCATGCAATTCTATCAAGTATAAACATAAATGTTAGTTGTTGTGTGATCCAGAGACCTTCCTCATTGATGACGTCATAGCTGGAAAATGTTCCTGGTGAGAGATGTCCACCAAAGTTCTAAATACTTCCTGATAAAAATACTAATCACTTCTGATAAAAGAAAATAATTCTCCTGAATGAAGTAATCAATACTCAAATTTTCGTACAGAAGTACATTCAGGTCCAGGACTATAAGGAAACAATATCTACGATATTGCTTTCATGTATGGATAATAATTAAACTAAAAGCAATCTAGATTTACGCCTAGATAATACGTATATGTTCTACAATTAGCAGGTCCTTTAATCCTGAAAAATGCACTCTGTATAAAGAAGATTTTCTCATAATACAGCAAACTGAGTCAAAGTAGCTCCAAAATTAGCACAGTCGAATTTCAAACACCCCGTGTTCTCATTATTTAGTATAGTGTAGTAACTTGCTCAAATTTGAAACAGCTCTGAAAATCAGCCTCCTAATATTCCGCAATAAATTAATTAAAGTTGTAGATTCTTAAACTAGTTGTCCAACTAAAAAAAATTTCTCAGCTTTATTTTTTAATGAAAATATTTTTTTATTACCTAAGAAATCTAAATAAAACTTAAAAATTTGTTTCGGCTACAAAGCTTTTTCTTATAACTTTTTTTCAGAAATCATCGAAAGTGTCTGTATTGCTTGGCCGCAGGTAATTTCTACAACAATACTTCCCCTTTGAATCCACAAGGGGACGTAAAATGTCATTCAACTTGTGATCGCAAAGAAAATAAAGTTAATGAGATTTCAACCACTTAACACGATTCTTTACTTATCTCATTTAAGAATATCCTCAAAGTTTACTTTAGATTACACTCCGAGTTTAATGCTTTTAAAGTTAAACTTCGTAATCGAGTGAAATATTATTGAATGGAAGATGGTGCAATTCAATAAAAGTACTGTTATAAGCTTCAATGAATTGCGTGCTTTAAGAATAGTTAATTAAAATTCTTAAAAATTTATTGATTTAACTTTTCTAAGGTTTATTATTTATTTTTTCGTGTGGCACATTTTCTTTGGTAATTAAAAAAATCAATATGATATTTCTGATCGCACTTTCAGAAATAAAATTCTCACTCACGATTGATTATTCAGCAATCCTTGAGCTGTATTTCGTTAATTTTAAGAATCATTTCGTCACGAAATCACGTGATTTATGATGAAAAAGGAACTCTCAAATATATGTCGAAAATGTTTCCTCAATTACCGAACCTCATTGTAGTGCATTGTGGGAGATTGTTAACTAGAATGAGGACTAGACGCTCAAAAATAAAGTGACATTGTCTCGTACCAGGGAGATCCCGGGTTTGTATTCCCCTTCGGGCATGGGTGTCATAAATCTTTCTGTTCTATCAGCCTTTTTTGCGTTGTTTTTGTGACACTGAGTCACCTATATTGTGCCTACGATGAAGTCATAATTAAAAAAATTGAATATGGAAAGCGCTATGAAGCTAATCATTAATAGTATTATTATTACTATTATTATTTTTTGAAAAAATAGAATGACGAAATATTTCCTTAATTTCGTTTTCTCGAAGAAGTGACATCAATTATTTCGTCACTTCGACGAAATTTTTGCTCGGAGCATACACCAAAAAACGGTTTCGTCGAAAACGAAGAAAGTTTCTTAAAATTTAAGAATCCATTTTGTTACACTGCTTACTAGTTACTAAACTTGTTTAAAAATATTTTAAGCATGCAATGAATATGAATTATTACTGTTTTTGGTTTGACAGTAAATTGAGTATCTCTGAAAAATAACGGACTAGACATGATATCTTCTTTGAAATGATATGATTGATTTTCTCTTTTTCAATATCTTTTTCAAATTTAAGCACTCTTACATGGACCTGATAGAATAAACAAATAGTAAGGATTCATAGGGATTCTTTTAGGAAAGACATTCTTGTATTCCCTTCAATGTACTTTTAATATCTTCGTGATTATATATAAACAAATGGGTATATAAATTAATTTCATATAATATCCCATTCTTAATTCGAGAACTATATATATATATCATTGGGGCAGGTTTCAGGACTGCTGCCGAACGGGCAGACTTTTTCTCAGATTTTGATTGTTTCCTGAATAAACAGATCTTATCACTTGAAATTAAATATTTGCACTTTGTAATATAATGCAGGCTTTAATAAATAGTAATTAAGTAAAAATCTAAAAATGTTATTTATTATACTGAAACAATAATTCCTCATAACAATAATTTCTATTTATCAGACTTATAAGTGCTTTACTATTTTTTGCTTTTTGGAGATAAAAACTCTAATTTTTGACAATTCAGCATTTCGTTAAGTGTGTTTTATTATTTTTAAAAGTTATTTTGTGATAATTTTCAACAAAAAAAGTGATCCCTCAAGTACTTAACGAAACTGCTTCTTTACTCTTGTGTCATCTCAGTGTATTTTAGAAATTTTTAACTAGTTTTTAAATTACAGGGACTCTATGACGGGATGGTACAGGGGTCAGGGAACTCACTTTTCAAGCAGGTTTCCCTGATTAAATTTCTCTCATCTGCTGAGTTCCTTATTACTCACATCCTTTTGATTTTTGGTCGCATTTCTAATTAATTTCATTAATCGATATCTTTCATAAGCATAATAATGCACAACACATAACAAAATACAAATCTTCATGCAAGTGAAGATAGTTATTCCTTCTACTTAAGGAAAGGTGTATTCAAATCATATTCCAGAAAGCGGTTTCATCAATAACAAAGAAAATTTTGTAAAATTTGAATATACAAT